TGCTTCGTTGCGGCAATGCCACCGCTCTCCGGTCCGGAAGCGTGGCAATGAAACCACTTCTCCGCACACAATGGCTCCGGACTACCCCGAGTCGATCTATCTTTCACATCGCGGAATCTGGACCTCGTATAGGGACACCAGGGAGACAATTTGCGCGGATTGGGAGCCTGCAGGCGAGGCGGATGCACGGGGCTGTGGCCGCGGAGGGCTCACCCGCCAGTTCCTCGCGGGAGGAGACTGCACCTCGTGAGAAGGAGGAACAAGAAGCAAGAGAGGCCAAGCCTGCAGACTCTCATGGAAAACGAAAGTCTTTCGCTCCCAGTTCCACCACAGACGAAAACGAAGTGCTTGATAAACGGACGCTACTGCGACGGCTTGTTCGGAGGGAATGGGTGCCGCAGAGGTACCTCGTTCCTCGCACCGTGTTAAATGCAGAGTTGAAATGGTTGCGTGACCCACATGCGTTGGCTGAGCGCGTCCGGCGTTGTCTGGCAGACGGACACCTGGCGCTTGGTCTGAAGCTCATTCAGGTGGCCCATCAAAAACGTTTCAAAGCCATTCCGGCTTTTAATCGGCTGCTGGAGTATCTCATGCGTGAGAAGGAGCCGGAGCTTGCCTTTAGAGCTTGGAATGATGTATGTTCTTCTTTCTCCCTTCTTGGTCTTTATTGTTGTTATCAATCCGTGGCTGACGATATGCTCGTTTCGAATCATAACAGATGAAAAAGCGAGGTATGGAACTGAACTCGAGATCTTACACTATCTTCCTGAACGGTCTCTGCCAGCACTTCGATATTAGAGGCTTCAAGCCGGTGAAATTGGCCTCTAAAGTCTACATGTCGCTCTACGCTGAGGGTTCCCACGTCGAACCCCATATTATTCACGCCAATGCAATGCTCAAGGTCTGCTGGTGGCACCGAGATATGGAAGTTCTATGGGAGGTTGCTGGCGCACTGCCGGAGTCCGGCAAACTAGCTCCAGATCTTATGACCTACACCACGCTATTAGGGGCTGTCGCAGGCAGTACGAGGGCCGCAACATCGGAGCTGTATAAGGGAAATATCAAGACGGCGGAAAGAAAACAGGTTGAAGTCGAGCCGCTTCTGCAAAGGAGAGCTCAGGGTATCCAGGAAGCCAAACGGGTCTGGGCCGACATCATTTATCAATGGAAGAAGGGCCAGGTGCCCATGGACAACTACCTGGCTCACGCCATGGCCCACATGTTGCAGGAGAACTCAAGCTGTGACCACGATGTCTGGTGCGTGTTCGCATTGTACAATCAAACTGCCGGTATTCCGATTTTCGCGGAAGAGCCCCCGAAGGAAAGGATCGAGTCGACTTCGGAAAAGAAGCGAGTATCTTCTCCGCACAGTGATGCGGGCTTGGAAGACGATATCCCGTTCGTTGACGAGGGAGATAGATTACACGATACCGAACCCGAGGAGATCGAGGATGTGGAGGCCGAGGAGAATTTTGATCATCTCTTTGACCCCGTTGTTGGCACGGTGAAACCGCCTGCGAAGACAAGGCTCTCGATGTGGGATGAGGCAACTCTTCCGCGGTATATTGAGGTGGGAAACAGGGAACTGACCATGCTTCTCAAAGCTTGCCTGTCGATAACCCAAGGGACGGCCGCTGCAAAGGAATATTGGCGGTACCTTACGCAAGGAGATGAGCCCAAGGTCGTACCTGACGCGGTTAGCTACCACGCGTACCTACGCATCCTCCGTGCTGCACGGGCTAGTCGTGAATCTGTGGAAGTAGTACGCAACATGACTCGAGACCCCACCGGACCTACAGAAGGAAAGACCTTCCGCATATCCATGGCCTCATGTACTCGGGACCGCAGAAACCCCAACGTGTTCAGACACGCCAACGAGCTTCTGGATCTCATGGCCAACGGCACCGCGCTTCCCGATGCTCGGTCAATAACCCAATATCTCGACTTGGTCCAATCACTGGAGGATAGTCCGGATCTGCTGATGTCCCTCGCTGGCCTTGAATCGGGGGCAGATGCTAAATCGAACAACCTCAGCGCTCTGGGAGTGAAGCTGAAGGCCAGCCTCATCACTTCTGCCGCAGAGCGTCTCTGTCCACTAATTCGGGACCTCGATGAAGCCGTGTCCAGTGAGCTGTTGGGAGAAAAGTCTCGACAGTCCTACCTGGCCCGGATAGCCAAGACCAACCCGTCGGCCGCGATCAGAGGAGAAGATGCCCTTAAGGCGCTTACCATGACACGAAGGTTATTCGACTCGGTTAAGGAAGTCAAGCAACATGTACCCCCGGAGACCTTCAAAGAGGTGCAGCGCCACGCCGAGCTTCTAAAGAAATACTCTGACAAGAGCATTATCCCGAAGTTCCGGAACACTCTGGTTGGAGCAACGGCGGAGCAGATGAACAGACTCGCCGAGCGAGAAGTCCCAAGCGCCTGAGTTCCACCTTATTGATTCAGTCCTATCTATCTGCCGAGGGCCATCCGGATCCTTCTGCTTCATCCAAGTGGATCTAACTAATATGGTCTCCACTCTATTCAGTACAAATTATAGCATAATCGGGCGTTTTAGAAAAGTCGATGTATCATAGCTAGCACATGATGAGGGGGATGAAGGGCATATTGTATAATACACTTGAAATATGGACATAGTACTCAACTATCCCTGGCATATATTCCTTCAAAAAACAATATCAATGTTCAGTTATAGATGTGTCGATCGACAATTAATTGATGTTTCAGATGGGCTCTTCCGCCTGCCGGATTCAGCCCGTGCTTGCGTACGTAAGGAATGCCACTCTAGCCTCTCCGACACGGGCTGCTCTGCCTCGTGCCAGCCCAGCTTTCCCCAAATCCGAGTTCCAGCTTGCTGCATTGCTACGTTCTGGTACCTTGTCTCGCTCTGTGATTACTATTCTAACCTCTGGGTACAGCCGGTCTGTCCAGCCCAGTGCAACCCACTAAGCAATCCACGTCAGCCGGAGCGGGCAATGTCCCAGTGACCTACCACAACTAACTAACTACAACTACTTCCGCGACACCCCAAACCCAACCAGAGGTACAAACACCATGGCCAGCGTACAACCACACTACACCCACGGGGACATTCGCGACGATGAATCGATCCTCGATGACGACGTGATTGAAGCTGATGATGGTGAGTGAACCTCTCCCGACCTAGCTACCTAGCTACCTAGCTGCCTTCTTCCCTTTGTCTCCGATCCAACCACCCCATACCCCATGTATCTCTACATACATCCTCACTAACATAATGTGTCTCAAACTTCAGCCATCGAAGCCGACGACCCCCTCCACGACACCTCCGACACCGCCCCTCTCCGCGGAAACATCCAACCCGAAGCCTCGTCGAGCTCCGCCCGCGGCGGCGGGAGCAACTTCTCCAGCAATTACCTGACGTCCACGATTGGCGGCGAAGACCGCCGCGCGACACAGAGCACCATCGATGAGACGGTATGGGAGACGCTGTCGCGCGACTTGCGGGCCGTCTGGGAGAAGATGCGCCAGGTGTTGTGGCCTAAGTACCTCATTGGGGGCATGTTGCAGCGCGGCGGGGGTGGAATTGGTGCTGCGGAGAGAGGTGAGGCTACGGGCTTTGGGGGTGGGCTGAGGAACATGGTAGGACGCTGGCCGGATGCCGATGTTGTATTGCAGGGTGGGATGAGTGAGGGGTTGAGGGATTGGGATCTTTGGTGGGTTGATTATCTTTTTATCTTCCGTCTATTTGGGGAGGGAATGTGTGCTAACAACTGATGGTTCTAGGGGTCCCTTGATCTTCTGTCTCCTGCTGAGTATGTTCTTGTCTATGCGCGCCAAGGATGAGCAGTCGTCGCTAGTGTTCTCGGGCGTTTTCTCCATCGTGTGGATTGGGGAGGCGGTCGTGACGTTGCAGATTAAGTTGCTTGGTGGGAATATGTATGTTTCTTCTTTCCAAGATTGGTTGGTCGGATGAAGGTCAATTGCTAATGTTTTTTTTTCTTCTTCTCCGTTCGATAGCTCGTTCTTCCAGTCGGTTTGTATTATCGGATACACGCTCTTCCCTCTGGTTATTGCCTCTGTGCTCAGTGCCTTTGGCCTCCCGACTATTGCGCGCATACCGGTGTATCTTGTCCTGATTGCGTGGTCGCTGGCGGCGGGAGTGAGTATCCTGGGTGGATCGGGCGTGTTGCGCAACCGGGTCGGCATTGCGGTATACCCGCTGTTTGTCTTTTATATTGCGATTGGGTGTCTCTGCTTTATCAGTTAGGGTGGATGAGGAGAGGATGTGTCGGTGGGACGATGTGGTTTGAGACAAGCTGAAGGAGAAGATGAAGATGAGGTTGAAGACGGAGAAGTCAGTCAGTCAGTCAGCGTGGATTTCTGTGTTGTATCAATTCCGGATGATTTCCCATTTGCGTTTTGTATGTTCAGATCGAATAGAACACTGTTCCAAACTTCCAATATCCCTATAGTAGATAGATAGTAGCTGCGGGGTGGAGAGCGAGCGGTGACCGGAGCGACCAGCAAACCGAGCTTGTCCGCCCGAGCGAGACAACAAAGCACTCCGTCACCCGCTTGCGTCTGTTCCTCCGACTTCGTGGGTTCCCCCAACGCCGCCCTCACCTTTCCATTCCCCTCCTTTCCTTTGCGAAAACGAAAAAAAGAAAAGAAGAGGCAGAAGGATTCAAGATACAGATACCTATCTGTCCCCTCTGTCCACCTCTCTCTGCAGTTCGTCTTGCCCGTCCCTCCGCTACCCCGTCCGTCTCTAACGTTCCCCTCAGCCTCAGTGCTTTGCTTTGCTTTGCTTGCTTGCCTGCTAGCTATCTATCACTGCGGGCTCGTCCGACCAGACTGACTTCCAGTCAAACTTGTACGATATCCATTTATATCTGTTCGTCCTGTCCCCAGTAGATCTGCTGGCTCACCCCTCCCCTCCCCTCCCCTCCTCTGAGCACATCGCATGGTCCTGCAAGCTTGCAACCTCGCATTGCGTCCGCGGGCCGGCCAACCAACCAACCAACCAACCTGACCTGTCTTTCTGTTATCGCAAGGGAGCTACTATTCCTAGGCAGCTGCTTGTACTTATGTCAATGGGCTAATATCTTCTGTTCACCCTGTCCTGCAGAGTTCGTTTTATCGGCTACACTCGACCCGGTTGTTTCGCGTCCATCGCTTGCCTAGAACGCATGTCCTCGGCGTGAGCACACACACAGTTTCTGGCTACATTTCCCCCTTTCGGTCATATCGCGGATACATTTCCATCGGCAAGCGTTGTTTATTGGACCGATTTATTATAAGATGGCTGCGGATCCTCAGAGGAATGGTGGGGTGGAAGGTACATATTATTTGTCTCTCGATTTGAGTTTTTCTTCGTTTGCGGTCGCGGAAGGTTCTAGGCTGGAATGATTGTACTGACGAGTGGGATCAGTAGACGAGACGAAGAAGGAAGTGCTGGAGCGTCAAGGTATGTTATCTATGATTTGGACAGATATGTATGTGATAGCTGATTGGTCTACTCTTACCTACAGCTGCAGACGACTCGCAAGCATCCGACAACGACGGCGGTGAGCGCCCCGTCCGCCACAAATTAAAAGAAACCTCGATCACTTCGGCCCCCAAGACTTCGACGGACGGCGACGCCAACATGACCGGCAATACGCAGGAAGGAAGCTCCAGCAGGGCCAGCAGCAGGGGCAGGAAGCGATCATTCGACGAAGATGAGCCGGAGAAGAACGAAGACGATGCAGGCCACCGTCGCAAGCGGTCGCGCGACTCGAACTCCGAGGAGGAGAATGCAAATGCCGATGTCGATGTGGAAGTCCCGCAGCCACAGAAGGGAGAGGAAGTGACACGTGATAATGCGGTTCCGAAGAAGAAGAGAAGCAGGGACCAGTTGGATAAGGATGAATCGACAGTCGGTGCTTCGGGCGAGAAAGCGGAGCAGAATGCTGCGGAGGAGGCCTCGACGGAGAAGTCTGAAGTCGAAGGACAGCCCGAGAAGAAGAGACATACGGATGATGCGCGAGAGAAGGAATCGGTAAGTGCTATGTGGGTATGGTATGTTGAGTATAGAAGCTGATGGGCTGCGGTGCTTGATAGGCTCCCATTACCAGTGCGTTTGCGAATACATCGTCGGTTTCACCATTCGGGGCAATTGGTGCGAAGGCCAAGGAAGAAGAAGCAAAACCCGCTGCCACCACATCATCATCTGCTTTTGCTGCGTCAAGTCTGGCTGCGTTCGCCAGCTCGGAACAATCGCCCTTTGGCTCCCTCGGAAGCTCCACACCCTCTGTCTTCAAGTCGCCGGCATCGACGGACTCTCCTCAGCCGGCTGCTACTGGATTTGCTTCTGCAGCCGGCACATCGGGATTTGCTGCGCTGGGGTCTGGCTTCTCTGGGTTCAGCGGTGGCTTTGCGGCAGCCAAGCCCGCAGGTGGACTTACGAGCTTTGCCTCCCCTAGTGCTCCCAGTGTTCTGAGCGGCTCCAAGACGTCTGCTTTCGGGGCACCCGAAGACGAGGAAGAAAAGGAGGAAGATGAGGAACAAGCCGGTGACAGTGGCCCGGGGGAGTTCGAGCAAGACAAGACGGACGAGAGATTTTTCGAACGTCCGAGTAAGTGGTCTATCGAATTTCGAATCATAGGATCGAGCTAATGAAGCGCAGTCGAGACTGGCGAGGAGAACGAGAAGACATACTTCTCATGTAAAGCCAAGCTTTTCCACTTCACGAACAAAGAGTGGAGAGAGCGTGGCATTGGGACCTTCAAGGTCAACGTCCGTGTCACGGACGGAGTAGAGGACAAGAAGGCAGCTCGCATGATCATGCGCGCAGACGGTGTGCTGCGCGTGATGCTGAATACGCCCATTTTCAAGGGAATGACGGTTGGTGATGGACAGGGCAAGGAGCCCAAGTCGAAGCAGATCAACCTAGCCAGTTTGGAAAGTGGCCGCTCTGTCCCGATCTTGCTCAGAGTAAGTCACCCGTCGTTACCTACAACAGCCAAATAAAAGCTGACTGACCTGTGTAGACCGGAAGCGAAGACCTCGCCAAAGAATTATACCGCGTTGTTCGCGACCTCCAGGAATACCAGTGAGCATGAACATGCAATAGCAGCAGCACACAAACATGTCTATTGGATACCTTCAAAAAGCGCCAGTAATTAACTACGACTACCACCATCATCAGCAGCAGTCCTAGTCCCTCTACCAACGGACTAAAATCTACGAACTACTACACCATCTACATAGGAAAAGAGAAAAAAAAAAAAAAAAAAATTAACCAAATGGGTTGGCATTTTGCATTTGGGCCGAGGAGTCAAGAAACCGGGGTTGTGTCTTGCGTGGCTTGGGGGAATTACCATCAACCTATTTATTTTACTTTTTACTTTCTTTTGTTTATTTCATTTATCACTTTTTTTTTTAGTATACACAGCCATTCTCTTCGTGTATGTTTTCCTTGGGTTTAGGAGGTATTTATTACTACTAGTATATTAAGTTGTATACTGTTTGCAGCTGATACTGGTAGAGAGTCGATAGAAGTAGATATTAGGGAGTTAGTAGTGGGTGGTGAGTGAGGGTGATCCACATTTACTAACTATAGACTGATCTAGCCTAGTTCTTTCTTACGTGGTAACTTAGGTACATACGTAGTTTTGGATCGACATTCACAAGAAGCTAAGCTAAGCTAATCTTATCGCGATCAGATGAGAAGTCATGCAGAGTTAATCAGGTGGGATGTCTGCATGCGTGTATGCAGTGTTCTATCATTCTTGATATAGTGCAAGCAGCAAGTACGAGTCATTTGAGATATACTATGTTACGTATCGACTTGATGTGTCATGTTGGATGATAGCTCATATCCCTTGCTACTACATACTATCTTTAATAAGTGTGTCTTCAATCTGATAAACTATCTATCTAGTTACTGCATACAGTGCCTGATGACTACTAGGTAAACTGTTTTGAGATACTGATATCAAATGATATAAAATGAATATGTGCTATCGACCTGCGATGGTATAAAACTAATGTGAATAGAAGAAGGCTGTCCAGCAAGCAAGCAAGTAAGCAAGCGGTACGTATCTCGCCGAATCATCAACAATTGCCAAACGAAGCAAGCAGTACAATATGTCCATAACCCATGTACATGAACCCATCCCATAAACAGATACACCCTAATGATCCTCACGAAAAAGGAAAAAAAAAAAAATAAAAATAAAAATAAAAAGAGGAGAGGAGGGGGAAGGGGGGGGAGGAATATCACTGCGCCTTAACCAACCACCCCACAGCACCCAACATCAACCCCGCCAACAGCACCGTCAAAGTCCACGCGCCAGCTCTATCCCCCGTCTCAATTTTCTCCTTCGCCGTGGGATCCTTCTCATCCTCACTCGTATCAATATGATGTTCCGCCGCATCAGGATTCTCATCGATTGTCTGCGGTCCCGAACTCCCATCCCCCAACATCATCAACGCCCCCGTCACCCCGCCCAACGCACTCATCTGCACTTCCAGCCCCATGCCCCCGTCCCAGGTATCCTGGTGCCAGCGCACGCCGCACAGATTCTCCAGGCCGTCGCCGGTGCCCGAACACTGCTTTGAAATGGCTGCCGCGGAGCCTTGCAGTTTAGGGAGGATGATGTCGTGTGTCGACGGAACGAGGAGGGCCGTGAATGCGAGCCACATTGCCACGTACCCCTTGAAGCCGAGCTGGTTGCGGTCGCAGGATAGGATCGGTTCGCAGGTTACTTCCGAGAGGACGGTCCCGTTGGAGTAGTCTTGGGGGAAGAATTTGGTCGTGATGGAGGTGAGGAGGTTGTTTACTCGTTCTTCCCATTTGGTGGAGCCGTTCGTCTATTCCATTTATTCCTTGTTAGGGCAGCTGTTTGCGAAGAACGGGGATGAGGCTGGAGGACGTACGTAGTTATACATGAACGCCGCACCAGATAGATACGTCCCGTAGTTATACGTCCACTGGTTATTCCCGATGTCCTTGCAGTTGGCTTCGTTGGAGGTACTATCTGCCACGTTCCAGATCGTGGCATTCGTGTTCAGAAGCGGTGTTGTCTCCGACCAGTCGAAGATCTTCTCCGCCCATTCGGCATACGTATCGTTCTTGGTGAATCGGGCGAGTCGGGCAGACAGTTCGAAAAGCCCCCCGTTCGAAATGGCGTTCTTCATCGTGTACCCGGCCTGGTAGGGCCAGATCTGCCAGCGCATGCCGCCGTCGCATGTGGTGTCGTCCCAGCGATTGACTTGCATGTTGAAGACGGCGCGCGCCAGAGACGTCCATGAGGGTTTGCCGGAGACTTCGGGGAAGCCTGTTTCGGATGCGGTGATGGCGGCGAGGCCCCAGAACATTTGATCGTCGTTGCCCTGTGAATTTCGAGATATCGTTAGTTGAGTTGATAGCTAGGATTGGACTGGGTGATATCGAAAGAGGGAGGGGGAGGTCGTACCAGCCATTGACTGTAGTTGGAGGAGAAATAGTCGTAGTTTTCTCCCGCTTGAAACATCAGGTCATGCTGCACAACGGAGTTGTAGGTGTCGACGCCCGAGGCCTGCCAGAATTGGATCAGGGTCATGAACATGGCCCCCGCGATGTACCAGGTGTCGGTGAGCTTGCCGGGGATGCCTTCTGTTTGGTTCTGTTTGTAGAAGACCATCAAGGGGTCGGCGATGGTGGAGCCGGCGTTTGTGAGGGAGTCTATTGACATGATTGTTAGAGGACAATGTAGCTGGGCATTGCATGTGGGTAATGACATACCAGCATCGTTGACTTGTATACCAAGGTCGGAGTAGGCCCGTTGACTGTGTAACAGGAGCAGCAGAAAGGCGGTTAAATGGTGACTGCGCATGATGAAATGGGAGTCTGACGGATGACCATCCAGCTACGTTGGAGAGTACAACCAGACCGACAGGAAAAGCAGCCGAAGTGATAGAAACGACCAGGCAGCCATGATGGGATTAATGGTGGAATTTTTCAGGGGGTCAGACTGAGACGCCAAGGGAGGCAGAGACCCTTGGCACACCTGGCCAAGAGCGACATTTTGGGCGGAAATGAAGACAAGCTGTTGTGATGCTATATTTGGGACAAAGGAGTGTTGTGGTTGGGTTGGATGGGATCCTGAGGGATGGCCGGAATAGCGGACAATATCTGGATAGAGATGCGCGAGAAGGATACTGATGATGGAGGTGATGATGAGCATTCAGGGTCTCAAGAACAGGACCCTTTTTTTCCCCGGATTCCGCATAACAACACCTCTTATGATCGCCGCCTGACAGCCCTAAACGGGTTATTCTTAGCGCGCGCGAACCGTTCCCCAACTGGAACTGAAACAGAGACTCGCCGACCTGACACTTGACACTTGATCAGAGCTCCTTTACGAGGAACTGTGGTTCGCTGTCTGACCAGCAGTTCTAATTAGAGAAACACTAAGTTAGTCACCATATTGCATACTGACAGTTCAGATGCCCATTCCTGGTCCCCATGCAAACCCGGCCATGCGCTCGGATGTCGTGGCATCTTAGTTAGTTATACTCACTAAAACGGTTACACATGAACAATGTCCCCATCAATAATGGCGTTTCTATTGCAAGATTATCTTTCGGAGAATTCCCTCCCCCAAAAGCAAAAACAATCAGCAAAAGTATAACCGACCGAAACGCGATTCGAACGCGCAACCTTTTGTGCCGAAAACAAACGCGCTACCATTGCGCCATTCGGCCAGTATTTCTGACTAACCATGTCCGACTAGCCTTGTTGTGTACCCAAATGAACGACTATCGGCCGACGTCCCATTTAGGTAATATTGGGTGCACGTGACATCGCGTTTCTGCGCATCCGAAACCTGCTTCACCTCGAATAGTGATATCAGAACGCGCATCCACCGCATCCACAATGTGGCGTCAGTATGGCCGGTTCAAAAGCGCAAGCAGACAATACAGATACCTTATCGGGCCGGAAACGAGCCCAAGATGAGCCAGAGCCAGAGCGAGATGCCCCCGGGCATTCCGACCCCGTATCCAAGAGCGCGTCGACAGACCCAGCGCCAAAGAAAAGGCAACGTCGCAAGCCCCCTTCAAAGTCACCGGCGGAGACGCCGGTGACAGAAGACAGCACAGGTGCCAGCTCAAATGCAGAGAAGCCTTCCAAAGGCAAACGCAAACCCGCTCAACCAAAGCGAACTCCGTCCGCCCCATGGCCGGAGCCATTCAAGAGCCTCTCCCGGACACACCGCGCCCTGAACATCGTGTACACCTTCTGCTGCACGCGAAAGCACTTTGCCACCACTTTCGACAACATCAGGAATGCGGTTCAGGCGCAAATGCAAGGTCAGGAGCTGACCGTGGAGGATGTTGCGCGGGTGAAAGTTCTCGTGCCGCGCGCGGTGCGCTTCGAGTATGTCGATGAGGCCAAGCTGGAGGTCATGACAACTGGAGAACGCGAAGCGACACAACTAGGCTATGGAAGGGACGCACTCGGTGACACAAGAATGCCGACGACAAAGACCCTCCTCTTCGAGCTTCTAGACGGAGATCTAAAGAGACAAGTGAGGCATCCGCAGACGGGGGAGCCAACCAAGCCCGTGCGGCGCATGAAGAACGAGGAACTGAAGATGCCGGTGTACAGCCAGAAGCAGATGCTAGGCCTGATCGAGAAGCGAAACAAGAAATTCACCGATGCAATTGACGCCTTTCTCGTCCAGTGCGAAGACGACGCCGTCGACCCAGTCGAGAAACTGGAGACGGAAAAGCACGCCTGGATTCCTCAGCCGCCGGAGGACGATACCCCCATCACTGCACCCTCCACTCTCCCACAACAAATCCCCAAAGAACGCAAATCCATGTCAGAGATAGTGGAAGAAATCCGCCAAATGGACTGGTACACAGCACAAATCGTCCCCGAAGGCCACCGAGTCTTCGACCCCCAGCCCGCCATCTACGGCGGCCTCACCTTTCCACTCTCCCAGAACCTCGTCAACGCCCTATACAACACCAAGAGCATCACTCAATTCTACTCCCACCAAGCCGAAGCTATCAATCACCTCCACGCCGGCCACCACGTCATCGTATCCACCTCCACCAGCTCCGGCAAATCCCTCATCTACCAAGTCCCCATGCTACACGAACTGGAACACAACCCCTGCGCCCGCGGCCTATACATCTTCCCGACCAAAGCCCTAGCCCAAGACCAACGCCGTAGCATGCAAGAACTCCTACAATTCATAGAAGGCCTCCAAGGCACCC